AAGTACTGTTTTAAATGCCATAACCCTCTTTCGTTTCTCTTCTCCCTCTAAATATCCATTCTAGGCTTCATCCATCAACCCTTAACAAACAAAATGTATTTGCGACAAAGATGTTACTCAACAATAGCATGGAAAGGACAAAAAATGAACAATCAAGAATTCAAACATGACTAGGGTTTAATAGAGCGTCCGACACAAACACCGCAAAAATGAAAGCCCGGCAGGAAACCCATTAAAGGGGCTGCGCAAAAGTTAGGGCAAGATCTGCTAGGCAACCCACAAGCAAAATTGGGTAACCTAGGCAAAAGAAAAGATCAAAAGAAAAATGTCTGCTAGGAGACACGTCTCAAGTGACCTAGGCAAAAATTAGGACGTTAAAGCAGCAACCTGAGTTGAAAACTGAAAGGCGGCTCAGGGGGATCATCTAAACAAAGCACAACCCCAAGTCATCACTCCAATTTTCAAAAAGGCTAAAACACAATGATAGCTTCCTTGCAGCAAATACGTTTTGTTTAATAATCCTAAACACCAAAGCCAACCTTGGCCAACCATTCTTCTAAAAAACTCTTATTTGAAAAAAAACCTTCTAACAACCCCTTTTGAAAAAAAACAAAATAATAATAATAACATTCCTTCCTTCTTTTCTCTTGACCCTTATGGCATTAAAATGGTACCGAAAAGATACACGGAAAATGCACAGTGAATACTCACAGAGGAAAGATCGAGATGTCCCCAAACAGAGCTGGGAGACGCTTGACTACACATCAACTGGATAATCAATGAGCCACTAAAAGCTTGGGTTCAAAGGAACACATCTCAACAATGATAAAAAATGACATGGATAAAAAGGAATCGTCATCATTAACCTTAACGCGTACAGGTTAATTTCTCGACATAAAAAAAAAAATTATTCATTAGGAACAAACACATGAGCATAAACTGCATCGCATGCATATGAGTTAGGGGCATATGGAAGGGCGTTACTCAAAAAATAAAAGAATCATTCCTGTCTTGCATTTTCATTGCATCCATGCATTATACTTGCCATGGTCAAAGGGAGTCGTCGAGACAAAGCATTCGTAAAAGCTCAACAATCAAACAAGCAAGCCTATAAGCATGAAGAGGCCATCGCGCCTTGCTCTTCACCAAATGAAGGATAATTCAAAAAATGTCAAGACCAGGAATGACTTCCTAATCAAAGCCAGAAGTGGCTTCCAAAACAATACTCTTCAATAAAGATTCAGCAAATAACATCATCATGGGAATAGATCCTTCCACCAATGATGACAATAAAAAGCAAAAAACCACACGAGAAAAAGGCAAGCTTCATAAATGTTGAAAAAGCCGAAGCTAAAAAATTATAAAAATATAGAAAAACATTAATACATAATTATATATTATATAATAGAGAGAAATATACAAATATAATTATGATAAATATATATAAATAGAAAAATATAATAATTAAATAGAATTAACATAATATTAAGAAATATATATAATAGTAATAATAATAAGCAATAGAATACTCTCACACACATTAAAAATTCAGAACAGTGGCCATCCTGCTATGAGCTATTGCGGTTTAGCATTTTTGGGGTTGGCCGTTGGCCACTATGCTCTGCTATCCTGGATTTAAAACATTTATGCAATATAATACACTTTACCATGAAGTGGGAATAGGTCAATGAAGAATGGATTACTTAATAGAATAATTTTTAGACCAAAAACTCAGACGGATAGTGAGCAATTTATTTTTTCCTTGACATATATAGTGCAAGATAGGCTTCAAAAGTTCAACTAGTGGTGTGAGTACATCACTTTTTCTAAGTTTCTTCCATATAGCCTTTGGAGACAAACTGATGAATTTATATGTAGTTCTATCAACATTCTTATGTATTTAACTGTTCAGTTTTAGATACTGTTCATATTTACTTCTTTGTACTATCATCTTTACCAGCTTCAGCTTAACCAGGGTTTTAAATAGCGCACTATAGCAGTGTAGCACAGTGGCCTTTAGCTGTTGTTAAGTGGTATAGTGTAGCAGCTGTAGCAGACCAATAGCAGGCTGAATAACGGCCATAGCAGATGGGATAGTGGCACTATCTGTTGATTTCCCAAAAGCCCACTGAATAGAAACGTTGGGCCCTTTTTGAGGACAAATTTATGGATTTCAATTTAAAAAAAAATAAATCTATTGCTGTAATAGTAGTGAAAATGATAAAGAATACTTGGATTTAGAAGATGATGTTTCCATATATCAATTACATATTGATTTTGAAGAAGGAAAATTAAATAATTTATCATAGATAGTGTGTATATCAACTGCTATTTTGTTTGATATCTACCCCTTTCTGGCTACAACTACTATATTGGAGAGTCAGGAAGCCAAGGTTATCAATAACAGATAACAACCTATGGTGGTGAGCTGAAAATCCGCTATAAACTTATGGTGGATGGCATGGTGGCCTATGGCAGACAAAAAAAAACATTTGTAAAAAAACTAAAAAAGAATGGTAAAAATAAAACAGAAACATCATGAATATGTTAGAAGACTTGTTATAAGCCCACAAGTATGGAGGTTAAACAGAGAAAGAAGAGAAACCCTAGATTTCTTTGTGAACGTTAACAATTGAGAGAAAAGTATAGGTGATACTTGGAGGTTGTGTGAAAAAACCCATAAATGGGCTTTATAAAAACAAAAAAAAGTAATCAAAATCCACCATGAATGCCATAACCTGCAACAGCGTAATGGATATGGCGGGCACTGCCATAAAACCTTAGAAAAAGGATGGCAAATGCTAATCAAGCTTCAAACCGACACATAATTCCTTTACAACGGCCCCATAATGGTTTTTTTGACAACATTGCAGGAAGCTGGATCCTTTTTTTGATTCTCTATATGATTACACTGATTCTGTTTTCTGTATGAGATTTCTAACATTGTATAAAATAGCATGTATTACTAAATATCAATTATGATGAGAAGTTTTGCAGCTAGTAGAGGGTTCACATGATTTTATATATATATATATATGAATGTTTTCTGTGTTATTTACTTGCAGCATTAGCAAAAGCTCAACAATTATTACTGGACCAAAATGAAAGAGATTATCTTCTTAGCCAAGTTAATTCAGCAAAAGGTTGGTGTAAATATGTCTTAGAGGTGCCTATTCTCCCCCCCCCCCCCCCCAAAACACACACAACCCCCCCCACA